GATAGAGGAGAAGATAGGTGGAGAGGAGACAGACAGGTCAAAGAGGCGGGGATGGAGCCAGTAAAGGTGAATGTAGGTGGGGAGTATGAGATGGTTCTCATGAGCCTGGGCCGCAATGTGTGAAGTTAAAATCATATAATCTCATAGTAGCTCAAAAAACTGAATTACGTTGAGACCTGTTGTATCTAGTAACCCACTGTCTGAAACACCAGTTATCCAGAAATATTTTGAGCATACCCAGCAACTCACAAACAACTCTTCAGGTATTGAATCAATCGCCAACGCATGGGCTCAGTAAAGATAATGAATGTTTAATTGCTTCTTCCTGTGGTGCTTTTGAAAGTACAGGTTTGGAGCAGGCAGAGCAGGTATTAAAACAGCAAATGTTTCAGGTTAATATTTATAGCTGTGGTGGGGGTCTTCTGATTTATGTTTGTCATTAGGCATTCTGATGTCGCTCTGTGATCCAGAAAGCTCAGAAATCCAGGAATAAGAAAAAGACTTGATCAAAGCATTCTGGAAAGAAGTGGTTGTAATGTTTTATTAAAAGGAGATGCGTTCACACTGGAATTCTAGTCCCTCTTCTTATCAGAAATGCATTGCTTAGCTGCTGGAACCAGTGGGGCTGTGTCCAAGATTGCACTTCCCTGCTGCTGGGCCCAACCAGATGCTCGGAGAGGAAGTAAATTGTTTGAAGCGCTGGGAATTCTCTGACTAAGATTGCAATTCTGATAGAGCCAGTGCAACTCACCAAACAGGATTGTCACTCTCCACTGCTGGAGCTGGTTAAGCACTCTGACCAGGCTGTTGAAGCTTTGCTGCTGAAGATGGTGTATCCTCTAAATGCAAATCAAATTTTCCATTTCTTGAGCTATCACACTCTATTTAGATCTTAATGAGTCATACAGCAAGTTGAAAATCAATCATTCAGGGCATGTTCGAAATAGATGAGAATAGTTACTGGGTTCAGTGGAGAAATTGACATCTAATGGCCAGGGCAGGCAGATGGCTGGGCTTCTATTATGATTATTACAAAATAGTGATGTCCTAATTGAACTAAATTGCCTGCATTAGCTGCTCATTACAATATCTATGTAGGCTCAAGATTTAGAACCAGCTGTACTATGTTGCTAACCTCAGTGCTGACGCTAATCCAAGCTTCTGTCTTTGACTCTGGCTGTGTGGGGCCTCAGAGTTTTGAAAGTTTAAATTCATATTGCTATTAATTTGCAAGTACTTCAAATTCTTAACAATGACAGATGTTGGTAGTGTGACCTAGAGTTTACCAACAGGCAGGTGAATAGTCCTAAAATTATTGCTTCCAAAGTTGCAGATCCACAGGGCAGAAATGGCTATTATGAGGGGGCATAATCTTAAGGTGATTGGAGGAAAGTATAGGGGAGATGTCGGAGGTAGGTTTTTTACACAGAGAATGGTGGGCATGTGGAATGCGCTGCCGGCAGTGGCAATGGAGTCAGATACTTTAGAGACTTTTAAGCGACTCTTGGATAGGCACACGGAGGATAGTAAAATGTAGGATATGCAGGGTAGATTGACCTTAGTAGGATAAATAGGTCAGCACAACATCGTGGGCTGAAGGGCCTGTACTGTTCTATGTTCTATGTTCTAAAAGACAGGAAACACCACCCCTCCCCCGCCCCGCCCCACCCCAAATAAAAAATAAAGACATAAATAGAGTTACATTGTCTGAATATGTCTTGAGCACGATCTGAGACAGACAATGTGGATTCACATCCCAATAAAAGTTCCAGATCCACATATTCAGCAACATTCCAATCAGCAGTTGGAGTGTCAATTTTCACCCTTCAACCACCATCAGTAAAATGGATTATTCAGTCACTGTGGTATTGCTGCTCCTGGAACCTTGTGAGCAAATTGTTTGCCACATATTCCTGCATCACAGCAGTTCAAAAAGTATTTTGTTGGCTGTAGAAAGTTTTGGGAGTTTGTGAAGGAGTCTATATACAAAAGGCAAGTTCTTTCTTTTAAGGGCTAGATAGCCAGGAGTTTCATGTAGCCCTAAAACAACAGGATAGAGAACTTTGATTTCTACCACATGTGGTAATTCCAATAGAATGGTGATAGTTTTTATGAAACTGCTCGGATGAGCTCAGAGCACGCAGGTGTTCGGTGTTCCGACAATCCGTCTACTCCCACAAAAAGTAAGCCACTCCAATCGCAGGTATCAAATACGATAGAAATAAATCAATCAAAACAGAACCACAAAAGAGGCGTCTTAAAACAAACCAGATAAATGTAATCATTTTATCTCTTTGCAGACTTACCTGTCTAAAGCTTGAATCTCATTCCAGTTTGGCAGATCCATGTTGCAGCTGTCAGAGTAATATACTTGCTGTTCTGGGGAACTTTACCTCCAAAATAGAGCTTATGCTATCAGTTACCTTCTCCTGTGGCAAGTCTTTGTGAATACATGTTGTAAACATCATTAGAAGGTCAGTGTTCCCAGTATCTTCAAAGGATGTGTAGGCGTTTCCTGAGTGATCTGTCCTATATCTAAATCTTAATTTATTCAATGCACATTCTTTCTAGCCATAGCTAGAGACATTGTTGAGAAACTCTGAAACATGATTAATGGGAATTTTTATATACAGTACACCGATAGTGATAATTGCACATGAAATAATAATTGCTTCCTTTTTAATTGATAACATTTGCTCTCTTATGGCACTGTAGAAGGGGAATTAAAACTGTTGTTTTCAGGTGAAGCAGTGTGGGAGGGGAACTAATTGCCTCCTAATTTAAAGTTATAGATTACAAATGATTTTTTAATCTTGAGTCTCAATTTATGAGGCATTTCCATGTAAAAAAGGTTGTTGTTGCATATTAAATTTAACAAAGGACATCTCTGTTTTCAATGCGAGGATAGGAATTTATAATGGAACATGGTGATAGGCAGTGCATGCGGGTATATGGTATTTTATATAGTCAATCAAAGTTTACAATTTAGAAAGCTTTTTGATACTTTGTCCTTTCTCCAATATTTCGTTTAGAAGTTGCTATATTATACTCTAAGACTCCCTGAACTAACTCCATTCAGAAATAGTTAAGATACATTTCATGGAGTACATGACACAGTCTCTACTCAATGCAGTCAAATGGCATTATGACTCTATGGCTTTTATGACACTACTCATGTCTGCTTATTGCACAACATTCCTGCACTACTTAACAATGAGTATTTTTAGGAAGGAAGGAAGGAAGAAAGGAAGGAAGTAAGGAAGGAAAGAAAGACAGAAAGAAAGAAAAAGAAATAAAGGAAAAAAAGGAAAGAAAGAAAGAAAGAAAGAAAGATAGAACCTTAAAAATCATCTTCAGTCCTTTGGTCTTTTTTTTGTGCCAATAGCAGCTGCAAATGAAATAGAACATAGAACATAGAACATAGAACATTACAGCGCAGTACAGGCCCTTCGGCCCTCGATGTTGCGCCGACCTGTGAAACCAATCTGAAGCCCATCTAACCTAAACTATTCTATTATCATCCAATGATATGTTTATCCAATGACCATTTAAATGCCCTTAAAGTGGGCGAGTCTACTATTTTTGCAGGCAGGGCATTCCACGCCCTTACTACTCTCTGAGTAAAGAACCTACCTCTGACATCTGTCCTATATCTATCGCCCCTCAATTTAAAGCTATGTCCCCTCGTGCTAGCCATCACCATCCGAGGAAAAAGGCTCCCACTGTCCACCCTATCTAATCCTCTGATCATCTTGTATGTCTCTATCAAGTCACCTCTTAACCTTCTTCTCTCTAACGAAAACAGCCTCAAGACCCTCAGCCTTTCCTCATAAGACCTTCCCTCCATACCAGGCAACATCCTGGTAAATCTCCTCTGCACCCTTTCCAATGCTTCCACATCCTTCCTATAATGCGGTGACCAGAACTGTACGCAATACTCCAAGTGCGGCCGCACCAGAGTTTTGTACAGCTGCAACATGACCTCATGGCTCTGAAACTCAATCCCTCTACCAATAAAACCTAACATACTGTACGCCTTCTTAACAACGCTATCAACCTGGGTGGCAACTTTCAGTGATCTATGCACATGGAGAAATTGCCAACTGTCATTGTTTTCTGTCTCACTGATATATGATGTTACTTGTGCTTAGGAAATAAAGATTTATGCCCAAAATAAACTTGCAATCGCTTACTGTGAAATCCTATTACCAGCACAAATTTTACATTACAGATATTTTGCAAAGAACATTGGCGGAAGAATAACAATAGTAAAAACGAAATCTGAGTGTTCACTAATGTTGACAGCCATTATGACTTCTGGAATATAAAGCAACCACAGACATTTATCATATATTGTTTAAAAATTATCTCAATGCATCTTGCCATGCCGCCAATTTTCTCTTTTCTGTCTAAAGGTAACTGACTTACACTGCAGTTTGGTTCCAAAGATGCTGATAGTTCTTCTTGTCCCAGCAGCTATTTGTCATCCATCAGTGTGCCCATTAATTTATACAAATTATATCGTTGCTTCTCAAGGTCAAATGTGTATTCCAGATTGATAGAGTAAGGTGAGAGAAGCCATTATTACTGTCCAGTTGTAAAGTGATAGCTATAATTGTTTGATAGTACTGCAGACATTACGAGCTTATTCACTAATGTGCCAGGCAAGGACAGCGTGGAAATGGTGAGCCATGTCACCATATTGTGGTGATCTAGGATGTTACCATTTATCTGAATCTGTATTATTTCAACCTATGAACATAGCAACCCCTGAAATTGAGTGCAACTTTAATATTTGTCAGCCTAAACAGATACTATTACCATGGGCCCCATCCCCTGGCTCTCATTAACATGTTTTCTAGTTTCCACAAGAAACATGTCTTTAACAGTATGGCACTTCCTACCTCTCACATGCTCTGATACAATGACGGTACATCTGTATGTGCATGTAAAATGTTTCTTACACACCTTAATGGGGTTCATCTCGTATTCAAATTAACCTTTGGAATGGAGCTGTCTAATGAATTCTCTCTCCTTGATGTACTGATTGAGAAATCTGCTAATGGGTTCTTGATGACAGTTAACACATGCCTACTTTCAAGGGTCAATACAGGCATTAGGATTCTAATAGCACCACCCTCTATAATGTTGGCCTTAATAACAACCTCATAAGTAGGTCCTGAGCCATTTGCAGACTGTGCAAGCTTGATGTAGTAATAGCATGCTTTAAACATATCCTTTGGGATAATGGCCACCTGATGAGATCATTGCTCATGATATCTTGCACAAATTCATGAATGGGCTTAGGGTCACCATTTTTAATCCTGAAAAATGCCTACTCTACCCCAAGTTATCCTGCCAGGGCAAGGAATCCCAAAACTGTAAGCAAAAGATGGGGCTAGGTATTTACTCTGCCACTATGTAAGAGCATCATGAGTGGTATTCTCCATTAACAGGATGGTGTTGTCGAGGTAAACAGACAGTTTTACCTATCACACAAATGAGTAAAATGTAGAATATGAGTTTCAGTGCCAGTGTGCATGCTATGTATATTGACCATACATTTCAATGATCTGCATGCGGATCATGTCAAACATTGTGTTCCTTCGCCTGTTTGCAAAGAACAGACAATTGACTGTCTTAATCAGCCTGTGCTTGCAAAATTCTGAACATTGAGTCTAACATTAGATGTGGCGTTTTTTTCACTGGAGCTTAGGAGGCTGAGAGGCGGCCTGATAGAAGTTTACAAAATAAGGATGGGGGTTATCAAGACCAGGGAGCACATTTTTAAGGTGAGATGAAAAAGATTTAAAAAAGACATGGGGGTGTGGAATTTTTATACAGAGGGTGGTTCATGTATTGAATGAGCCTCCTGAGGAAGTGGTGGATGTGGGTAAAATTACAATATTTAAAAAGACATTTGGATAATTACATGAGTAATAAAGGTTTAGAGGGATATAGGCTAGGAGCAGGCAGGTGGAACTAGTTTAGTTTGGGATTATGTTCGACATGGACTGGTTGGACCGAAGGATCTGTTTCCATGCGCTATGACTCAATGTGATTCCATGATAGTGCAGCATGAATTGACAAATCCTGAGTGTATAAAAATGACACTTACATTAATTTAAGATTATCAATTGTGATCACAATGTGGCACCCTTACACTTGCTAATAGCTACATCCATCTTTACGCAGAGCATGGTCCATTGCAGAAAAAAAGGCATTGCCTCTTTTCAATTAAACAACAACTTGAAGGGTACTGTTCCCTGGTGCATTGTCCACGGCACATCTCAACCATTGAGAGTTGACTTGCCTTTTTTAATGTAAACAAAGAACGCTGGGTTAACAGTTCACTGGTGCATTCTCCATGACAGGGCCAAACCAGTTGCAGTCTACTTGTCAACCAATCAGCACCCTGTTTCTCATAGAGTAGAAATTATTACTCCCTTTGAAATTTGGCATTCTCACATTTGTCATGATGAGTGCAAATTGAAAAATATTGAGCGGTCAGTTGCTTTCTTCAGTTAAATACCAGTCAGCACCTGATGCAAAGTCTATCCAGTAGCCATGGTAGATAATGTGTCACTTTTGTGGGTCTTTCAGTATATATTGGTGTTTGGTGTGGTGGGGAAGGTGACGATTTTTACTTTTGGCCATGTGCTGAACTGATGTCTGCATCCTCTTTCCATTGTATGCCACACCAGTTTACCTTTCCATTATTCAAGAGAAAGGAAGAGCAGACAAAGTACATAGTGGACAGTTGATCAGTTGCTGCCAGTTTTCCTATGCCCCTGCCGTATCTGAAATATACCTCGTGCCATATTGTCCCTTAATTGATAATTTCTTCCAATCTTCTGCAGTTTTTTTGCCCAAATCTGCAGTGACTAGAGTCTCATAGTGATTTTTGAAGCATGTGGAAAATCAAATTAAGGTTCTCCATTCAGAGCTCAGAATGGCTGTGTACAAGTCCTGAGTCTGAAAGATTTCTGAGAACCAGTGTTATCTTTGCCTGTTAAATTGTTTCTCAGCAACAAGAATTTTGAGCATTTCTGCCCATGGACCTATCATTGCACAGCAGGTGAAGCAATGCTAATTTATTCCATGACAGTGCCCTGCACTTTTACAAGTAGAATAATCAGATTTGTAAAGAAAGATTAGAATGCTTAGGGAGCTGTAAGGGAGTATGCCAATTGAAAATGTTGGACCAAAACTAATGAAATCAACATTGAAGACTACATCCTGGAGTGAAACAAATGATCGAGGAAAACTAATACATTCATTCAAGCCATTGATCTGCATTTTAATTCAAAGACATTGTTCCAAATAACTGCTCAAATATATTTCTAACATTGAGCACAAAATTAATGTCAGTGGTTTTGAACAAGATAGTGTAGCAATTCAGAATTACACACGCCTGATTTGTCTATTGTAGGAAGAGGAAGGCGCTCCCTGACTCACTACTTTAAGAAATATGCTCTTTAAAAGATTGTTGGGTATGTGCTAGGAGGGCAGCCATTTGTTTAAAAATAAATGTTACAATCAGAATGGACTTCCAGAGGGAAAACAAGAAGATGCTAAATCAAAAATTGTCAGGCAGTTGTGTCACTGTGACAACCAAGGGCTTTCCTACGACTGAATAAACCAGTGTTTGTAAAGACAAATTCCTAACAATAGGTACTAAGCCAAATTGTAGCATATCTACAATTGCACCAACTGAGAACCCATAATCCAGTAATCGAACTTGGGATCTCTCCAATCTGTACAGTTTGATTCTGCACTGCTTCATTCACTTAACCAACTGATACATTCTCCATGTAGTGATGATATTGTGGAAGTAGAAAGAAGTTTTCAATATGAAGACATGCAGCCGGGAGATGAGGATGCTTTCTCCAGGGAACCATTCGTGATTCAGTTCAAATCTCCAACCACAGGTACAGGTATTTCGGCTATAATGCATGTTTTGTTAACACGAATTGGCTGTAATGTGATTGATGAATAGTGGACGCTGTTTGGATAACGCGAACTTTCTACCACACGGTATAGTAATTTTTTGTGGCAATTTCCCAATAACACGATTTTCTGTAGCACGATGTCGCGCAAGAATGCAACTATCATGTTATAGGAGAAATATCTGTATAGTTCTTCACTGTTCCATTGCCAGAGCTGGGAACCTGTTACAGTTACACTATTCCTGAGTCTCTGCTATGCAAGCAGGTGATCTCGATAATACCATTGAAGATGATGGGGCCCATTAAAGTGAACGATAAAAGACATTAAAGACGGCAAGTCATGCGTTCATGTGCCTTCTTGCATTAATATTAACAACAGAATGAGAATAACAAGACAGTCATATTCCCATCTGCGTCACATATAGACAGGATGGTTAAAAAGGCGTTTGGCACGCTTGCCTTCATTGCTCAGTCCTTTGAGTATAGGAGTTGGGAAGTCATGTTGAGGTTGTACAGGACATTGGCGATGCCTCTTTTGGAGTACAGTGTCCAGTTCTGGTTGCCCAGTTATGGGAGGGTATATTATTAATCTGGAAAGGGTTCAGAAGAGATTTACCAGGATGTTGCCAGGTTTGAAGATTTGAGTTCTAAAGAAAGGCTGGATAGCCTGGGACTTTTTTCACTGGAGCATTGGAGGTTGAGAGGTGAGAAGTTTATAATATAATGAGAGATATAGATAGAGTTAATGGTAATTATCTTTTTCCTGGAATTGCAATGGTGGGGGGAGGTTCAAGACTAGGGGACACATTTTTAAGGTAAGAGGAGAAAAATTTTAAAAAGACATGAGAGGCAAATCCTATACACAGAGGGTGGTTCGCATGATGAAGTGGTGGATGTGGGTAAAATTACAACATTTAAAAGACATTTGGATAGGTACATGAATAGGAAACATTTGGAAGGATACAGACCAGGAGCAGGCAGGTGGGACTAGTTTAGTTTGGGATTATGTTCGGCATGGACCAGTTGGACCGAAGAGTCTGTTCCCATGCTGTATGACTCTATAAAACAATGTAAAAGGAAAACATATTTAAAAGATTTAATATTTGGTGTAAAACTTTCTCAAACAGGTCAGGTGATGTAAAGTGCTTCCTTTTGAGCCAGAACTGTCTCAGAACTGTAGATGAATTTGTCTGTCCCTAACCAGATTGATGGGTGGAATGAGTAAAGGAGTAGATGGTGATGTCAAATATGGGGAGGCAATTAATCCAGAGACCCAGGCAACATTCTGGAGACCTGAGTTCAAATCCTGCCATGACAGATACCGGAATTTGAATCCAATAAAAATCTGGAATTAAGGGTCTAATGATGATCATGAAACTGTTGTCAATTGTTGGAAAATCCATCTAGTTCACTAATGTATTTTATGGAAGGAAGCTGTCGTTCTTTCCTGGTCTGGCCTACATGTGACTCCAGACCCACAGCAATGTGTTTCACTTTTAACTGCCCTTTGGCAACTAGGGATGGGAATAAATGCTGATGTAGCCAGTCATGCCCTCATCCTGTGAATGAATTTAAAAAAAAACATTGGAAAAAAAGCAAATATTGCGAACTGTGCTGCTACCCTCAGAAAAACACAATTAGATAAACACAGCAGGCCAACCAGCATCATAGGAGCAGGCAGGCGACGTTTCGGGCCTAGACCCTTCATCAGATGAAGGGTCTAGGCCCGAAACATCAGCCTTCCTGCTCCTATGATGCTGCTTGGCCTTCTGTGTTCATCCAGCTCTACACCTTGTTATCTCAGATTCTCCAGCATCTGCAGTTCCTACTATCTCTGATACAATTAGATAAATGTCTTTTTTAAAAAAATTGTTCTACTGCAAAGGTTCCAAAATGCAGATCAATATTAATAGTTAACTTTTGGCTTTTCTCTGCGGTATAGAGACACAACATGCTGCTGTCTCATGTAAACATGGTTTTAATGGCTCACAAACACCCTTCTGTATTAAAATGTATGCACACTGGTAGCTTCAAAGGCAACTACTAGACAGGACTGTGCCAACACAGATATTGGGAATATTCAAAAGACAATCAGATACCAAGATAATAGAATCAGGCACCGAGACAGAGGTGAACTTTAAAGGGCCAGGCTGGTCATACCACCAGTTTAACTTCTGATGATCTGAAAAACTAAGTTTACTTTGAACTGCATAAGAATCTCTAAGAGCCGTGCTGAACCTTATTGTCTGTAGTTTTCATTGTAATGAGGGATTTGCTAGACTCATGATTGATATGCTTTACCTTGGTGGGGGTTGGCACGGTACTTGTGTGCATTAATGTATGTGTAACTATGGACTCAATACAGTGAAACCTTCAAAATGTAGGATTTATGCTGATATAATTACTATGCAAGGTGTCATTTGTGTGTTAAATTATGCATGAGACAAGCAATGATTCAGGTGCCAAAGCATTTTTTTACACTCGAGCAATCGAGCTGACAATGGATATGTAGCTTTCTGACTATTGGTGACACAGCCACATACAAAAAATATACCTATCAGATATACAGCATCATAGGCCTACAAAAGTTTTACAGACTTGCCAACCAGGCTTCTGAATTACATGTCAAAGACACTCCTTGTAAACAATGACAAAAATACAAAAAAAGGAGGAAAGAGGCAAGTCATATGGGCCAAAGTCACCTATTAACTGACAAAGCAAAAGATCCAGTGTTTGTTGATTAGCAAACCTTTAAGCCTGAACTATGGCTGTAAACTTTCATTATAATTTACATCAGAGATTGTGGTTCAGCAGCAGATTTGTAAGTCAACTCTGCTTGGATTTCTCAGTGAAGCTTTTAAATAGCTCACATTGCCATTTTCTGGTGAATACATTAGAAATAGTTAAGTTCAATCCAATTGAAAGGGAATGGGGTATTTGTTGTTAAGGTCTACAGATTCATTTGGTTGAAATCAAGAGTTTTATTCAGCAGTAGGTAAGAGCTACATCACACTGACTTTAGCTTGGCTTTTTTTCATACACTCAGTTGTGAAGAACTTTGTGCTCATTCCCCAACACACATGCCCTGAAGATTCAGTCAGGGAAGTCGACGAATTATATGACGTCTTCCTGAAGATCAAAAAGGAGTGGAACATTAAGGTGTGTTTTCAGATTTATTCATTCTTATATTTTTGAAAGCAAACTATGCAGGAAGATTAAATGCCACGTATAGTACATTTCAGAGCTTAAATCATGCACTCAAATGTCATAAGTTACTCACTATTAACTTGTCCTGGTTTTTTAAAAGTCTGAAAACAGTTACAAAACAATACGCGGCAGCAGTTTTACAGCAGTCATAATTTCTCTTTATTTATGTGATGAAAATATTAATTTTTATTTTTACTATTAGACATTCTGCATATAAACACCTTCTAACTTTATACCACATTTAGTCCTCTATTTCAGAACTATATTTTGCCTCTGAAAACAACCGGCAGTAGGGACTAGGAACAAACAGTCTTTTCACTTCCAGATCCTGAGTTTAAATGTAGCCCACTTTGAAGATAGCAGTTTCCTCTCTGGATTGTAAAGCAGTAGTAGTGGCTCAGTTGTTAGCACTGCTGCCTCACAGCTCCAGGGACCTGGGTTCAATTCCAGCCTTGGGCAACTGTCTGTGTGGAGTTTGCATGCTCTCCTCATGCCCATGTGGGTTTTCTCCAGGTGCTCTGGTTTCCTCCCACAGTCCAAAGATGTGTAGAGTAAGTAGATTGGCTATACCAGAGTGCCCAGGGATGTTTGGGCTGAATGGCCTGCTTCCATAGTGTAGGGATTCTATGATTCATCTAATTACAGACTGAAATCTAGAATCATCCTTTATACAGCTTATGGAACTTTTAAAAAAAATGCTCTTTACCAAGATTGCCTTGTTTCAAATTCTGTCACATGCACACTCTCTGGCCATTTTCATGCAGATTGTGATACAATTTTAATCATTCTAATCTGATGTGTGAACAGCCTGCTCATTTATCCATTCTCCCAATCACTTCTCTCTCTTCCCCAAAGTTTGATTTGTTTCTTTTTGTTGTAATGCTATTATTATTTGCTTCCTTTGATTTGGATTTCTCCCCCACCATCTCTGAATAATTTGGAGTTTATTCCATGCCCTAAACCTCTTTTATCCTGTGCCTTTCATTATGGACTTTCTTCAGTTTTGCTTCTTTCCCTCCACCTTGTTACTAGCGCCTGTTTTCAAATTCCTTGCAAAGTCTGACAGCTTCTTACAAATTGACAACCAGTCAAACTTGGTTCCAATTACCTTCTTGTCATTTACTCGTCAAGCTTTCCCATGCCAGGTGGCACATGAGGTAAACACAGCACATTCTTCTCTTTCCACGGTTAGGTTTTCCTGGAAGAGGCTATCAGTCTGTTACCTGAGGCTGTAGTTTGAGGGATACATCAAGCATGGCTGTTGGGAGACTCTCCTGCTCCTCCTGTGTGATAATGGAAGATTTTATAGACGCATGACTAACCCGTTTGGTCACATTATAAATGCATCTTTCATGCCATTAAGTCCTGGAATAGGACTTAAACTTGGAACTTGAGAGGCAGGCTTTCCCTGCAATGCACTGCACCATAAGAGCTCCTTCTTGTATTAGTTACGATTTTGGAGCCCATTGTGATTTTATTGGTTCATTCATTTTGGCACATTGCTCCCCACTGCGAATGCAAAAACATTCAGTCTGTGGAAAAAGAAATCCGATTAGTTTGAAAGTTACCCTTTGTTAGTTTAAATAAGTATTCCACTTCCATCTCATTTACTTGCCTTTATATCTCCCCACCCATTCCAAGTAGGAAACTCGGTCAAATATTTCTTCGTAACTGAGCTCTTTGATGGTTGTCTCAACGTAAGTAATTCATTAGTAATGGGGAAATTAATAGAACTGAAACGTGACAAATTCCCAGGACCTGATAGTTTCCATCCATAGGTGTTAAAGGAAGTAGGAAAGCACATTGCCTCATATGATCTATCCGAGTTCCTTGGGTTCAGGAGTGTACCTTTTTATTGAAAATTTGTTCATGTCACTCTGGTCTTTAAGAAGATGACAGAGGGAAACCAGGGAATTACATCTGTCGTGGGAAAATTGTTGGATTCTATAATCAAGGGTAAGGTAACTGATCACATTGAAGAATTTCAGTTAATCAATTAAATAAACATTATCCTAATACATATAGAGTTAATGGCACAGTTCTAAACAGTGTGCAACAGAAGGACCTAGAGATGCATGTACATTTAGTTTGAAGGTGACTGCATTTATTGAAAGAGCGTTTAGCAAAGAATATGTGATCTTCAGCTTCAGAGAGAAATTGAGTAAAAAAATAGAGAGGTCATGTTGAGCCTTTATAAACTCGGAGACTGTAAGGACTGCAGATGCTGGAAGCTAGAGTCAATAAATGTGGAGCTGGAAAAGCCTTTATACAACTCTGCTTGGGTTACAACTAGACTATTGTTTCTAGAGGGAGTGCAAAGGAGGTTCACTAGGTTGATTCCAGAGTTGAGGGGGTTGGCTTATGAGGAGAGACTGAGTAGATTGGGATTATATTCATTGGAATTCAGAAGATTGAGGGGGGATCTTATAGAAACACATAAAATTATGAAGGGAATAGATAAGATAGAAGTAGAGAGGATGTTTCCACTGGCAGGTGAAGCTAGGACAAGAGGGCATAGTCTCAAGATTAGAGGGAGCAGATTTAGGACTGAACTGAGAAGGAATTTCTTCACCCAGAGGGTTGTTAATCTATGGAATTCCTTGCCCAGTGAAGTAGTTGACGCTACTTCGGTAAACGCTTTTAAAAAAAAGGTAGATTTTTTTTGAACAATAAAGGAATTAAGGGATACAGTGAGAACGCGGGTAAGTGGATCTGAGTCCACGAAAGGATCAGCCATGATCTTATTGAATGGCGGTGCAGGCTTGAAGGGCCAGACGGCCTACAGCTGCTCCTAGTTCTTATGTTCTTATATTTCCGGTCATCACACTTCAGAAAGGATGTGGGGGTCCCTTGAGACGGTGTAGAGAAATTATTCCTGGGATGAAGATATTTAGCCACAAGAGAGTACCTGGGGTTGTTTCCCTTGAAATTAAAGGAGACCTGGGGGCGATTTGATAGAAATGTTCAACATCATGGACCTTTTTTAGTGAGGTGAAAAAGAAAAGGACAGTTCCCATGAGCTTATGGTACAATAACTAGCAGCACTGATGTAAGGTTGTAAGATGCAGAGAGGAACTTTTTATGTAGTGAATAGTAATATCCTAGAACACAGTGCCCGTAAGGGTGGTGGAATCAGAGACAATCAATTACTTCAGAAGGAGATTGGATGGGCATTTTAAGGAAATAAACATGCAGGCTTTGGGGAATAGAGTGGGGGCATAGAACTAATTGAATTGTTCTGTAGAGAGCTGGCATAGACTCAATAGACCAAATGGCCTACTTCTGTGCTGCAAATGCTCAATGCTTACCCATTGTAAGAACTAATTAATACTTTTCTAATCTGTGTGGCTCAAGACTACACACAGTGGTGCATTTCAGGTCTTTGCCACCAGGATACCTCACATCCCTTGGGGAGGTAATAGGCTAGTGGTATTGTTGCTGGACTGTTAATTCAGATAATGATCTGGGGACCTAGGTTCAAATCCTGTCACAGCAGATGGTAAGACTTGAATTCAATTCCAAAAAATCTGGAATTAAGAGTCTAAAGGTGACCATGAATTAATTGTTGGTTGTCAGGAAAGACCCATCTGGTTCACACATTCTTGGGTGTCCTTGTGCATGAATCACTGAAGGTGGGATTGCAGGTGATTAAAAAGGCAAATGGAATTTTGCCTGCCATTGCTCGAGGGATGGAGTTTAAAAACAGGGAGGCTATGCTGCAGCTGTATAGGGTCCTGGTGAGGCCACACCTGGAGTACTGTGTGCAGTTTTGGTCTCCTTACTTGAGAAGAGATATACTAGCACTGGAGGGGGTGCAGAGGAGATTCACTTGGTTGATTCCAGAGTTGAGAGGGTTGGATTATGAGGAGAGACTGAGTAGACTGGGATTATACTCATTGGAATTCAGAAGAATGAGGGGAGATCTTATAGAAACATATAAGATTATGAAGGGAATAGATAAGGTGGAGGCAGGGAGGTTGTTTCCGCTAGCAGGTGAAACTAGGACTAGAGGGCATCGCCTCAAAATAAAGGGAAGCAGATGTAGGACTGAGGTCAGGAGGAACTTCTTCACCCAAAGGGTTGTGAATCTGTGGAATTCCCTGCCCAGTGAAGCGGTTGAAGCTACCTCACTGAATGTGTTTAAGGCAAGGCTGGATAAATTTTTGAACAGTAAAGGAATTAAGGGTTATGGTGAGCGGACAGGTAAGTGGAGCTGAGTCTCAAAAAGATCAGCCATAATCTTATTAAATGGCGGGGCCGGCTCGAGGGGCCAGATGGCCTACTCCTGCTCCTAGTTCTTATGTTCACTGATATCCTTCAGGGAAGGAAACTGCCATCCTTACCTGGTCTGGGCCTACATATGACTCCAGACCCACAGCAATGTGGTTGATTCTTAACTGCCCTCTGGGCAATTAGGGATGGGCAATAAATGCTGCCCTAGTGGGTGATGCCCTTATCCTGTGAATCAATTAAAAAAATCCCTTTGCTCGGTGAATTTGGAATCTAAATGTACCATCCTAAATCTTATTCCTTAATGTAATTATGTATTTCAAGCATGGCAGAAAGTTAAGACAGGTTGAGTGAGATATTCAATCAAGTACCTATTTGAAAAAAATTAAAAGAAGTTACATATGTTATAAAAGTGAATAAGTGCAAAACGGTACATTTATCATCCAACATGTCTAAAAATACAACATTTCAGTCAGTTGTTGACTGCTGAGGTAGGCACATGCTTAAGGAAATGTATTTTTGGAGACGCATTGACAAATTTAAAGCAAATAAGTTATTGCATTAAAATAATGAGTAGAATTTTATACAAGTAGACTAAAATGACATCTGTTAATGACAGCAAAACCAGTTCAACTGATTTAAATTAGTCAGAAACCAAACAGTCTTCCTCATCTCTCACCTCAGTTGACTTCTCTTTTCCATTTTCCACAGAACATTATGATACTTGGGGACTTTAATGCTGATGGAAGGTACGTGACGAAGCAGGAGATGAAAACAATCCGACTCAGAACCGACAATAATTTTCACTGGCTCATTGGCGATGATGAGGACACCACCACAAATGTAAAGACAGACCGGGCTTATGACAGGTAACGCACAGGTTACAAGCCTGGGAACGCAATAGGGTCAGTTCAAAAACCTTAAATGCCTAGTTCCTAATGAACACCACACTCTCCACCCCCAACCATCTTTTAACCTTGTGCTCTCCCATTTCTGAAACTCCTCTCCCCAACATGACATGCACTTTGTAGCTCAGAGGGCAAGTGGGATTTCTGACTGCTCATGAAGAGGTGTGAACATGGCTCTTGTAACTCCAGTCCCGCTAATTTTCCAGTTATTTACCCAGAACTACACCTGTCGTGTCTGACAACCTGAAGTCGGAGCAATCATGTGTGAAGTGAACACGCCTCCAGTCACCTCTTCAGCCTCCAGTCACCTCTTCAGCCCGTTTCCTCCTTATTTTGTATGCTTAACATCAGTTTCTGATTAAAAGGAGATTGGAGGGTTACTGCCAGCAACAAGTTGGTGCATTATTCATGCTTCCTTTTCTCCATGGATTGCTTTAACAAAACCTTCTAAGGCTAGAACACTGTAATATTACAACCTTCATTCAGGCTTCAGTTCCCAAAGGTACCTTTAATAAAACTTACTGCAGGCACATGATATTCTTTACTCCGCTCACTGCTGGCCATCTGTTATATTGTACGCAATATTAATCCATAATTAATGTGACTTATTGAATCATAATATTTTACTCACAGCAGGAAACCATGCAACCCCGTTTCACCCAAAAAAGCTTGTGACCTAGTCCCATCTCCCCTTTCTTCCTCCTATCCATTAATGTTTTTCTCTTTCAAACATCTATCCACAATTGTTTCACAAGCTGTCATGTATTTTCTTTTATTCTAGCTTCTGCTGAGGGGACACTGGGAGAGCCCTCAGTTCCCTGAACTGAGTCTTAATATGCATCTGAAATGGAAAAATTTAAAGCTCTGATCCACAAGGCAGCGTCTCCAAAAGTTCAACGCTGAAGTGTCATTTAAAGCTCAGTGAACACGTTTCAAATGAGGTTCAACCATCAATCTTAGGGAAACAGACCCTTGGGTCCAACTCGTCCATGCCGAACAAATCCCAAATTAATCTAGTCCCATTTGCCAGCATTTGGTCCATATCCTTCTTAACTTTTCCCATTTATATACCCATCCAGATGCCTTTTAAATGTTGCAATTGTACTAGCCTGTACCACTACCCATGCAGTTAATTCCAAATGTGCACCATCCTCTGTGTGAAAAATTTTCCCCTTCGGTCCCTTCTGACTCACAAGTGAGAATGCAAACTAGTATTGTACAGCCTATACATATCATTCTGGGCATAAACGTGGATACAGCCAGCTTCTCTCCCTCTTCAACCGACATGGCTATTCTTTAGCCAGTGCAAGAGTAGCTCACTAAATTTCAATCTCTTTCTTTCCCCATCAACTCTCACCCTACAAGGAACTCAGCACCAAGATGCCACCTCTGTCAAATAGATTAATTAATTGTACTCCGAAAGTCCTAAATGCCCCGTTATGTAAGAGGAGAGGTGGCAGCTCATGTGATGCAGTCGCAGCGTCACTACCTCTGAGCCAGGAGACCTAGGTTCAAATCCTATCTGTTCCAGAGGTGTGTGATGAGGGAAATCTCTATAAGGGGCTCAAACCAGAAGAGCTAATCACCATTCCACTTGAAAGGAAAAGGTGCTTTAAGGCATCATCAAATTGCAAAACTTAAACTTGCACTGGGACACAAGAGATGACAGAACTGCCAACACAATGGAAACATGATGAACAAAGCAAATAACGTGGATCACAAATGCATTTAAAATATGAAGCTGTGTCTTGTCCAGAAAGTGGGATATCAGACTTAAATCAAAATGAGTAGTTTCCTACTCTAATGTGCCAGGCTTGGATTGATTGTATCCATTAACAGTATATGTTTTTGTTTCCCTGTGTAAAAGGTCTTGTTGTAGTGCAGTATTGCCAGTGAATTCTCTGTTTACACTGTTACTGGCACTGTCTCTGATTTATATCTATTGTTGTTGTTGACAGGATTGTTGTTTACGGAGATTGGTTTTATAAGCAGATTGTTCCAAATTCTGCTAAGCCCTTCAACTTTCAGGAAGCACTGGAGCTGACTGAAGAGCAGGTAGGTCATACTGTAACTGGTAGAGAGTCAAGTTTTAACTGGGTTTTTTTTGCGAAGAACATGGATATGTGATGACATACCTGTCACCCACCCTCAAATCATTTTTAATTACATGACAAATTCAGAAAGTATCCATATAATAAAAAGCTTTTCTTGTTATGATCAGGCTTTGGATGTGAGTGATCACTACCCTGTTGAGGTGGAACTCAAAATTAAGAAATGAAAGACAGAGTCAGTGGAGGTGAGAGCATCGCAAGAACAGAAACTGCGCAACTTCTCGAAAATGCTGAACTAATTGTTGAATCTTAACAAAATTTGATGTGTTTATTGATTTCAGTATCTAAAAATCCATACTTATGTCATCAGCTGCACTGGAAAATACAAACAATTTGACCATTTTTATTCTTACAGCAGAAAGCAGGTTCCCTCACTTTTAATAATAAAAGTAGCAACTCACATCAAGGACAGCAAGATACAAATGTTATATCCATTTGAGCACTGATGCCCCAGCGACCATTTAGTGAATGTCATTACTAGTGACTGTCTACTGAATCCTGGCAACAATTCCCTGACTTAGTTCCTGTCATGGTAGGATGATGTGTTTTTCAGCTGTAAACATATTTAACAATACTCGCTTTCAAGAAAGGTCATTGATCTGAAATGCTCCTCTCTCAATAAATACTGTTTTGACTTGCTGAGTATTTCGGCATTTTCTGTACTTACTTCAGATTTTTCGAACCTGCAGTATTCTGCTTTTGAGTTTTCCCTAGTTCCTGGCTAATATTTGATCAACATCACCAGAAAATCAAATTATTTGGCCATTATCATATTGTTTTATGTGGGAGCTTACCGCAAAGTGCTTTAGGGAGGCTGGTGGTTTTAGAAGGAGCTGCATTAACAGAAATCTTTTTTTCAATGACAGAACCAGCAAAATGCATTGAGATTCTTGATGAATATGTGTTTAGCCGGAGCTTATTTTAATACATAGTATGAGAGGTCTGTTGACAGTTCAACAGCCAAATAATCCAACATCTTTGGTGTGGTTAGTACTGCTGCCTCACAAGTGCAAGGAACCCAGGTTCAATTCCAGTTTCAGGCAACTGTCTGTGTGGAGTTTACACATTCTTCCTGTATCTCCGTTGGTTTCCTCTGAGCGCTCTCGTTTCCTCCCACAATCCAAGGATGTGCAGCTTAGGTGGACTGGCCATGCTCATTTGCCTGTAGTGTTTGGCTGTGCAGGCTAGGTGGATTAGCCATGGGAAATGCAGGGTTACTAGAGTAGGGCAGAGCGTCTAGGTTGGATGCCCTTTGGAGGGTCAGTGTGGACTCGATGGGCCAAATCACTATAACGCCTTACCTGCATTCACCTATCATCATCCCACCTACTTGTCCCTAGCCTCATGCCCATCCCTCGTTTCTGGGCTCCCCCTCCACAGTCCTGACAAAGGGTTTCGGCCTAAAACATTGACTTTCTCTGATGCAGTCTGACCTGCTGTGTTTGTCGAGCTCCACGTTTATGGACTGTGGCATCCAACATCAGCAGTCCTTACCGTTTTCTAAACAAAGGGCAAATTATATCAAATAATGAAATATGCAACATCATGAAAAAAATGGTTAGTCAGTGAGAAAAACCAGAATACTTCATGATTAAGCATTGAGGCTGTTATCAGAGGTTAACTGTGATGCCAAAAAAGTACATGTGCTAGCATTCTTAAACAATATCTAAAACTGCAAGTTCAATGCTTCCACTCACTTAACAGAGAACCAGGTTCAAAGGGAGCACTAATTTCTGATGAGGCTGGTTCTAACCCACATTCCATGTTAGCACAGTGCCCACACTAGGCCGGTAGAATTTAAATCGATAGAACAAATTTGTTCAGGGCTTGAGCAAGATTGCTGAGACCAGCTTTAAGCAGTGGATTTTATTGGACCCATATTGGAAAAAGCATTGTTAAAAAGGAAAACGAGTACGTTTTGAGATCATACTTTGAGCTATAAAGAGAGACACAGAGTACGACATCTGTCTGCAATAATTACTTTATACATCTGCAGAAGTGGGCACAATCAGTTCACCTCCAAAACTGAGTTCAAAGGCAGAGGAATGGAATTAAACTTATTTCTAAAGGGCTACATCATAATTTGACTGATCTGATATCCCTCAACTCCACTCTCCCCATAACCCCTGATTCTCTTAAAAATTTGAAATCTGTCTCTCTCAGCCTTGAATATAATTAACAAACCAACCTTACCAGCCCTGTCTGTGATAAAGATTGACTACCCCACAAAGGAAAAAACATTCTTCAGCAACTGCATTGGCACATTCCCACATGCAACAAGTCCAAGACAACAGATTGGGCCCATTAGGAACCAAGGAGGAAATCAGTGTGTGGTGCCAGAGGACACTGGTCGAATGTTACAAGAGTACTTCACAACTGTCTTCACTCGGGACAAGGAGGATGCAGTAAAGAATTCAGGAAGATTCTTCAATAGATTGATCTAGGGAAAGGAGGTATTGGATGTTTGGGCAGATTTAGAAGTGGACACATTCCGCGGTCCGGATGAATTGTACCCCAGGCTGCGTGGGAGATGAGGCAGGAAATCGTAGGGGTCCAGATCTGAATTTTCAATCCTGTCTGGCCGCATGGGTGGTGCCAGAAGACTGGAGGACAGTTAAATGTGTTTCCACTTTTTAAAGACATGCGGTAGAAATAAACAGATGAGTTACAGATCAGTCTCACATCAATTGTAGGGAAACGATTGGAGAATATTGTGAAGGAGAGAATTAATCACCATTTAGAAAAGTAACGTTTGATCAGGGATAGTCAGCATGGTTTTATTGGAGGGAATTGGTGACTAACAAATCTGATTGAATTTTTTGAAGCAGTGACCAAGTGTGCAGATGAGAGTAGTGCAGATGATATAGTATATATTGATTTCAGCAAAGCCTTTGACAAGGTCCTACATGGGAGACTGATAAAGGAGCTAAAAGCACATGGAATCCAGGGTGACTTGACAAGTTGGATCCATGTTTGGCATAGTGGCAGGAAACAGAGTGGTGGAAGGCTGTTAGACACGAAGCCAGTGTCTAATGGTATACCCACCAGGATCGGTACTCTGTCCCTTATTGTTTGTGAGATATATAAATGACATAGATGAGGGTTTTTTGGGGATGATATACAAGCTTGCAGATGAAACGAAGACTTGCCAGTGGTAGACAATGAGGAAGGACTTAGGATACAGGAGGATATGATCAGATTGGTCAGATGAGCAGAGCAGTGGCAGATGGAATTTAACTCAGGTAAATTTATGATGATATACTTTGGAGCAAGTAACAAGACAAGAGAGTACTTAATGAATGGCAGGTCACCAAGAAGTTTAAACAACATAGCTTTTTTGGCTGCATGTCCACACATCCCTCAAGACTCCAACTACCCATTCTATCCATGCCTCTCAATTTTGTAAACTTCTATCAGATCACTCCTTATCCTTCGATGTTAAAGTGAAAATAACCAGACAACATCCTGATAAACTGTTTCTGAACCCTCTCCAAAGCCTCCAAATCCTTTTTGGAGTGTGATGACCAGAACTGTACACAATATTCCAAATGTGATGCAACTAAAGTTCTTTACAGCAGCAACATGACTTGCCAATTTTTATACTCTATGCCCTGACTGATAATGGCAAGCTTGCCTTATGGCTTCTTTACTTTCTTATCCACCTGTGCTACCACTTTCAGGGAACTGTAGACCTGTATGCCTAGGTCCCTCTGCATGTTGATGACACTTAGGATTCTGCCATTTAGTGTATACTTGCCTCCTGCATTAGAATTTCCAAACTGCATCACCTCGCATTTGTCCAGATTGAACTCCATCTGCTATTTCTCCACCTATGCCTCCAACATATATACATCCTGCTGTATCGACTGGCAAACCTCCTCACTATCCGCAGCTCCCCCAATCTTTGTGTAATCTGCAAACTTACTAATCAGGTCACCTATATTTGCCGTGAAATCATTTATCCACATATCTCCAATGTGACTAAGCCAGTTCTGTATCCATTTTACCAGCTCACCACAGATCCCATGTGATTTCTTCTTTTGTATCTGTCTACCATGAGGGACCTTGTCAAAGGCTATGCTAAAGTCCATATAGACATCATCTACTGCCCTGCCCTCATCAATCATCTTTGAGTTTTTTGAGTAAGTGACAATCAAGTTTGAGGGGCATGAACTTCCCTGTACAAAGCCACGCTGCCTATCATTAATAAGTCCATATTTTCCAAATGTGAGTAAATCCTATTCCTAAAAATCTTCTCCAAATCCTGAAAAGGACTTGCAATGCTGCCGCATTGGTGCAACATCCAGTCAAGGATCTTGCTCTGGAACCTGAAGCTGCCTTCCTTGTCGATGCTGTTGCCACCGAAGTCACTGCGATTGAGCTCTTCACAGGGGGGAAAAGGAAGAGGAAGGGGGGAGGGGGGAGGGAAAAGAAAAGGAAGGAGAAAAAAAAATGAGAAAAGAAACAGATAGAGAGGACAAACTCCAGGAGCCCAAACACTGCCTACTCTGCCACCACCATCTTGAATGGGGATAGGATATGGGTGTTAGGTCTAGGTGAGATGCTCTTTGGAGGGTTGATGGGCCTGCGTGGCTTCTTTCTGCACTGCAGAGATTCCACGTTCCCAGGATCTGATGGGGTCTATCCCAGAACGCTGAGGCAGGCAGGTGAGGAAATTACTATGAAATCTTCATATCCTCTTTAGTCACAGAAGTTATAGAGTCATACAGCATGGAAACAGACACTTCTTTCAGACTAATCCATGCTGCCCATAATCCCAACTAAACCAGTCCTACCTGTCTGCTCTTGGCCCATATCCCTCCAAATATTTCTTATTCATATGTTTATTCCCCCATCCAAGCCCCTGAAATTTAGCAAGTCCCGGTTAATATCAGGGAAGTTAAACTCACCTAACACAACAGCCCTGAGGAAGGGTCACCATACGCAAAACGGTAACTCTGATTTCTCTTCATGGATGCTGCCAGACCTGCTGAGCTTTTCCAGCAACTTGTTTTTGTTTGATTTACAGAATCTGCAGTTTTTTTTTTTTAAAACCACAACAACTCTTGTTTTCACGCTTTTCCATAGCCTATCCACATATCTCTTCCTCTATCACCCACTGGCTGTTGGAAGCCCTGTAGTCCAATGCCAAAATGATCGCACCGTTCCTATTCCTGAGCTATACCCATATGGTCTCACTGGTCAAGCCCTCCAAAAGGTATTCTCCCTCAGTACAGCTGTGATATTCTCCCTTATCAGTAACTCCCCCACCTCTTTTACAACCCACTCCATCTTGCCTGAAACGTCTAAATTCCAGAACGTTAAGCTGCCAGTTTCATCCCTCGCTCAAACAAGTCTCTGTAACAACTACAAAATCAGTCATAAACATTAATCCAAGCCTTAAATTCATCTGCCTTACCGGTTATATTCCTCATTAAAACAAATACACCTCAGTCTGCCAGTGCTGGCACATTCAGTAACTTCTCCCTGTCTGTTCTTCCTCTCCGTTTTACTGACCTTGGTCTCGTACTCCTCCTCTGTCATTTTACTAGCTGATCCACTACTCTGGCTTCAACCCTTGTCCCCTCTCCTGACGTGAAGGGATCCAGAACAAAAACAAACTGCTGGCAAAATTCAGCTGGCCTGACAACATTTGTCAGGAGAAAACGAAGTTTAAAAAGTACTTGGATAAGCATTCAAAAACATCATAACATTCAAGTCAATGGGCCTACTCCTGGAAGATGGGACTAGTAAAAAGTTAGCATAGATTTGATGGTCCAAAGGGCCTCTTCTCTAAGATTTGATTTTAATCACTTTAAATTAGCACAGTTTTCTCAACATCTCGTCACAGAATAATCTTCTCTCCTCCACCCCCAACTTGTCCCAGGGAACAATTTAGTGAATCTTCCCTGTCACTGCTTCTACCACAAATACATTGTTCTCCACATTTTAAGAAACAAACTTTCACACAGTACTCCAAATACAGTCCTAAAAGCCTGTACAATTCTTTATTCCGGGACTTCACCACTGCCTTCATAAGGATAACAGGGATAAACAAATGTTGGATTTGCCAGCAATACTGATATGTCAAGAACTAATGCAAAAATATCCAGTCACAAACTATAGAATTCTTCGACTTATGTAAATCCTTATCAGCGTGTATACATTTATATGTTCCATCTTTCGAGACAGCGGCCTCAAATAAAGTTTCATTTTAATTGAATCAATGACAGGTGTATGCTAAACTTTCTTAATGGAAACTTCATTTAAGCTGCAAAAAAACATTAGAATGAGAACCAGTCTTCACAAAAATGAATTTCTGAAGAGTGAAGCACTTTGACGTGATACAGAGAACTTAAGTATTAAGATGCAAGTCTTAATGTATCTGGTAACAGGTGCAATTTTCGGGTTATGCCACTGCCAAAATGATTTCAAATTTTGAATGGTGCAGTATCACCACCTGCTGGAAGATAGACAGTAGTACAAGCAAGAACACACACTATTTATCACAATCATTACAATTAGCATAGCTTTAGGCTGGGAAAGTCTCATCTCAAACTTGAGTTTTTTGAGGAAGTGACAAAAATGATCAGAGGCCAAAGTCCATATGGACTTTAGCAAGGTGTATAAATAGGCCACTCGGGTGGTTGTTTGCCTGGAATCCACAGTGAGTTGATAAGTTGGATACAAAGTTGTCTTAGCAACAGAAGACAGAGGGTAGTTGTGGAGAGGTGTTTTTCTGACTGGAGGTCTGTGACCTGTGGTGTTCTGCAAGAATCAGTGCTGGAACCTGTTGTTCATAACATATATAAATGATTTGGGGGAAAAGTAATGGCCTAGTGGTATTGGCGCCAGACTGTTCATGCAGAGACCCAGATAACGTTCTGGGGACCTGGGTTCAAATCCAGCTACGGCAGATGGTGGAATTTGAATTCAATAAATATCTGGAATTAAGAGTCTTATGATGACTGATGGATGATTGTTGGAAAACCCATCTGGCTCACTAATGCCTTTAGGGAAGAAAACTGCCATGACGAAGGAACAGTGCTATGAAAGCTGTTATTTCAAAGGAACCTGATGGACTATGATCTGATGCCATGTGACTTCTGACCTTCACCAGTTGGGCCATGGAATATAAAAGTTGAGAAGTCATGTTGCAACTGTATAAGACTTTGGTCAGGCTACATTTGGAGTACTGTGCACAGTTCTGCTCACTGAACTATAGGAAGTACATGGAGGCTTTGGAAAGGCTGCAGGTTTACGAGGATGGTGACACAAACTTGGATTGTTTTCATGACAGTGTTGAAGGTCGAGGGCTGACCTAATAGAAGTTTATAAAATTAGAGAGATGGATAGGGTGAATAGTCAGGGTCTCCTTTTCCAGAGTGGAGACGTCAAATACAATGGCGCAGAGGTTCAAGGTGAGAGGAGGCAAGTTTAAAAAAGGTGGTGTGCAGGAGGTAATAGGGGCCTGGAGCGTACTGCCAAGGTGTTAAACATCATTTAAGAGGCATTTATGTATTCATCAGACAGATGAACAGGCAGAGATTAAAGTGATGCAGAACATGTACAGGCAGATAAGTTTAGAACAGCATCACGTACAGCACAGATGGTGGGCTGAAGGGCCTGTTCCTATGTTGTGTTCTATGTTATGTGATAATGGGAAAACAGGTACTGTATGATTTACACATATTGAATTTTCAGTGCAGGACAAAGCTCATTCAGCTCAGCTAGTGTTTATATTCCACACTATCATCTATCTACCCAACATCTTCCAACCTTATCTACAGATCAGATTCTCCTCCTCCCTGTATTCCTTTTCTACCTTCCCCTTGAAAGCAATACTAAGTAAATTGCCCTTCAAGTACACCACATAATATCAAGTTCTAAATTTTAAGCACAGTTTCCCTCCTTACAGAATTTGATGACTTATTTCTGGCTTCTTTTCACATGTTGAAAGCAAAACCCAAACAGAATAAAAACATTTAGCATCGATGGCACAAAGTGCAGTTGAAACCTCTTCAGCAGGAAGCGTACTGACCTATTTCTTCTCCCAGTAAAGTATAAAGTTCCCAAAATACCAGCTGATATCCCAAAATGCTATTTAGTGAAATTATAACTTGGCATGAGTCATTAGCATTCCCAAGTTTACCCCACTCCTACTTTCCATCAGCTGAGAGCTTTCAGATTACTTTTGCTTAAATTTTCATTTTGTTACAAGTGCTGCTGCACAGTAACTTCATAAAATCAACAAATCCAACACAATCAGAAAAATAAGTTTGAACAGTAGTTAAATATACTTTAACCGGAGTATTTCCAGCATCTTTGATTTTAATTATACATGCACACACACGCTTGACAGATCTACTGATAAACACTTAATTCTTATCAAATGGCCAGAAATACAAAACATGATTCCTGTGGATGAGGGTAACTTAACCAGGCCACAAACATTTTTTTTTTAAAAAAAATACCTGCATACTGCATTCAATGCTGTTGGCTTGAGTAGTAATTTATATACAAGTTCCTTGAAATCAGAAGACCAAATTTTGTATTTATTGAACAAAACAACTCTGCATAAATAAGACATGCTGCAACTTAAAAAGGTGGTAACTCACTCAATGAGGATATATTCCAATATTTATTCACAACATATCCAACGATCATAAGAGTTACACAAAACCGCAATGCTCTCCACTCTGGATGATATCCAGATTATTTTTTCTTGCTGCCAAGATTAAAAAAAAAGTGAATCCTGGAAGGATGTGAACACTATCAACAGAAAATGCTATTTATCCCTGCACCTCTCCAGGTCCATTGCTACCATTTTGCCCAAGTTTTGAGTCACATCATCAGCCAGCCTTTAGAAAATGAATAACAATTGATGTTGATGCACATTAAACCCGAGCTCCCTCCCAAGGAGCCTGAAGGTAAGTATCAGTGGCTCATATACACCTTCTAACAGGGCTGGATATGGCTCATCCACAGTCTAGGTTTGTAACTACACTGCTGGCTACTTGTTTAAAAAGAGATGAGTTCAAGTGAAAATATTAAAACCACAATTATGTTCCATTGAAAATCCATTGACAGACACTTAGAAAACAGGAAAAAGAATTTATTGGCATTTTAAACAAATATACAATTTACAGGTAAGGCAGAAACGTAAACAGAAGATCACAAAAAGAGATGTGTATTAATCCTGCGTCCTCTGGAGATATACAAGTGATGCAAATGTCAGCACATTTGACATTCCAGTGTTCCCCGTTACTTCTTGCCTGACTTCTTAATACCTCCAGAAACTGCAAAAGGATTAAAAAAAAAGAGACTGGGTAAACTTGAAGTTTTGGTGCAGTGTTTCCCCCAATCATTTCCTCTGCTCCCATTTTCCTACTCATTGCACTGGGAGAGTGCGTCAGCAATTAGTTGTCCACCAGTAGCTCACCAGTGATATACTTCACACTGAGTGCAAAATGGTCATTGGGAACTATTCAACCATTTGGGACATTACAGGACAGCCCAATTCCATCCACACCAAACCAACTCGAAGGTTGACTGCAGCAATCTGAACACTGGCTGTTTGAGGGGAAATAGTTTTCAGTTGCGAACATTATTATTCACTACGACCGGGAGAACTCACGCAGCTGAGGATAAGGTCCCTGAGTGTGAGAAAGCAGCTTCAGACTCAAGACCAACCGTAGACAATATTGGCCACAGGAGAAAAAGTGCATATGACTTGGTTAAATAGGTTGATGATTAGCCTGGCCCCATCCTTCAAAATTTTCCCACTAAAGGGAAAAAAAAACTGTGCACGAAGGTATGAAATTAACTGCTCAGAGGAATGGAATGATGAATAGTTCTGGTATAAAAGCATTGTCTCAGTAATGGGATTAAACTACTGGTTTGTCATGAAAACTGATCTGGTTCACTATTGTTCTACCAGAAGTGTGTCAGGACTGTTATTCCAGACCCACAACAATGGTGACTCCTAACTACCTGAAAAGACCCAGTAAGGTACAACCTTCAAAAAGCCATCAGGGATGCCAAGAGGCAATACCAAACGAAGCTTGAGACCCAGACTAATCACGGGGGGACTCAGCGTTTGTGGCAAGATTTACATAACAGGCTATAAAGCAACGTCGAACAGGCAATAGTATATCCCTACCCAATGAGTTCAATGCATTCTACGCTTGCTTTGAACAGAAGGTCAGTGAAACAATATCACCTGTCCCATCTTTTCACTGCAAATTGGTACATGTGACAGTAATAAATCAAACCAAGCCATTCCTCAAAATTGCTACTTGATGGACCACCCTTACATTGGCTTAGGCAGTGGAGACAAGGCAAATCTTGCTTCCACACTAACACTTGGGAACTTGTGCCAAAAAACTGGGAGAATCTCAAAAGATTAGTCAACCCCAACAGTCATATTCACAGACACATACCCTATAGCCAGCGCCCCAAACTCTTCCAAAACAATCACTTATGTTGTGCTGGCAGTAGGACAGAAGCACCATAGATAGCAGCACAGTGGTACAATCAAGAAGGGCTGGTACCGGGAGTCCTCAGCATTGACTAAGGACACAATAAAAAGTCTCATGGTATCACAGGCAAGGAAACCTGCTGATACCGTCTACTGCTACAGCCTCAACTAATAAAATCGGTACTCCATGTTGAACGTCACCTCGAAGAAGCTCTGCATTTAGACAAAGGAACAGAATGGACTCCGGCTGAAAAATTTCAATGTCTGGCACAGAGTGGTTCAGCAGCACCACTAGTGACTGAACCTGAAGGAGGTGTCTGCTGAGCTGGTCCACTCGAGCTGGTGAGGGAACCAAGAGATGAAACCTGCTTGCCATATCCTTAGAAATCTACTGGTCACAGATAGATTTCTGTTTTCTGCAGTGCAGATAGAGGAGATCACTGCACAGTTCTCATTGAGAGCACTCCACTTGCCCAATCCGAGGACACTCATCCCATTGTGTTGCATGGCACTACCAGCAGGCTAAACGAGATAGATTTCGAGCAGATATGGCACTTCATAACTGCACAATCCGGAGGCATTGTGGGCCAGGTGCCTTAGGACTGTATCCAACCACAATCTGTAATCTCAAGGCCTGGCATATTCCTCACTCTTCTATTAAGTGACAAAACCAAGTGATTCAATGAGGCTTGTAGGACAGCATGCCAGAAACTTGGGTTCTGAGAAAGGGTCACTCAACCCAAAACACCAACTCTGATTTCTCTTCACGGATGCCTCCAGACCTGCTGAGCTTTTCCAGCCATTTCTGTTTTTGTGCCAGGTACAGCACCAGGTGCACACAAATGATATCTACTTAATAAGGCCGTAACAATGCATCCTAGACTGAGCCAAGGTGATTCCACAGACACCAAGTCAAAGCTGGCAGTTGACAATTAAACTATTAACCAGAGGAGGAGACTGCCAAAATCCTTGAATTCCCTTCCTAGCTGCATTGGAAGTTATGACTAATCCACAAATCCTCTGGAGAATAGACAAGGAAATGTAGAAGTAAAAGCATTCTACACAGACAAAGATCCCCAGCTGGGAGGGGTAAAAATGGAAGAAATCTAGACAGGACAGGGACAGCCGTAAGACAAAGGTGCAGAATATTGAGATAGTAGGAACTGCAGATGCTGGAGAATCTGAGATAACAAGGTGTAGAGCTGGATGAACTCAGCAGGCCAAGCAGCATCAGAGGAGCAGGAAAGCTGACGTTTTGGGCCTAGACCCTTCTTCAGAAGTGGGGGGAGGGGAAGGGGGTTCTGAAATAAATAGGGAGAGAGGGGGAGGCGGATAGAAGATGGATAGACGAGAAGGTAGGTGGAGAGGAGACAGACCGGTCAAAGTGGCGGGGATGGATCCAGTAAAGGTGAGTGTAGGTGGGGAGGTAGGGAGGAGATAGGTCAGTCCAGGGAGGACAGACAGGTCAAGGGGGCGGGATGAGTTTAGTAGGTAGGAGATGGGGGTGGGGCTTGAGGTGGGAGGAAGGACAGGTTAGGGAGGCAGGGACGAGCTGGGCTGGTTTTGGGAATATTCTGATATGTCTTATGGCTTTCCAGAATGCAATAGGTGCAGAATTAGGACACTCAGCCATCCTGTCTGCTCTGCATTTGTTAGTGGCTGATATGTTTCTCTTTGTTCCTTAACCTTTGATCTCTTTACTAATCAACTGGGTATCACCTCTGTCTTAAATACACTTAGTGACTTAGCGTCAGAGGGCTCTAGAGGCCGAGTTCCACAGATTCACCACTGGTTGAAGAAATTCTTCCTCATTTCAGTTCGAAAGGGTTGTCTCTTCATTCTGAGGCTGAACCCTTGGCTCTTAGCCTCTCCTGCAGGTGGAGGCATCTTCTCCCCATCCAGGCTTCTCAGTAGCCTGTGTTTCAATGGAGGTTTCCCCCCTCATCCTTCTAAGCTCCATCCGGTACAGACACTGAATCCTCAACCACTCCTCACATGACAGGCCCTTCATCTCAAGGGTCATTCTCATGAACCTCCTCTGGACCCCCTCCAACACCAACACATCCTTCCATAGATACAGGGCCCAAAACTGGTCACAATATTCCAAATACACAGTCTGAACAGAGCTTTAGAACAAGGAACACAGCACAAGAACAGCCCTTTGGCCCACCAAGCCTGCGCTGACACATTTTGCCTTTCCATACTAAAATTGCTTTCACTTACAGGATCCGTATCCCTCTGTTCTTTTCCTATTCGTGTATTCGTTCAGGTGCTTCTTGAACACTGCTATTGTGTCTGCTTCCACCACCAGCGTGTTCCAGGCACTCACCACCCTTTGGTGAGAGGAGGAAACAAAAAACAAACGAACTTACCTTGCACATTTCTTCAACTTCACCTCCCACTGCACCCCTACCATCCCCCCAACCCACCCTGCACGTTTATACAACCTCAGCTGTACCTCCATGCTCTTCTACTCAAGTCCCCTTGAAATGAATGATAATATTGAATTTTCCTCCATAACTGCCAACTGAACCTGCACATTAACTTTAAGAGAATGCTGAACTAGGATGTCTGATTCAGATTAGATATTCAGAATAGATCACGCGCACTGGCGGTCCTTTGTCTAACTTGCTTGTTACCTCCTGAAAGAAAGAATTCTAATAGACTTGTCGGGCATGACTGCCCCTTGATGTAGCTGTGCTGACTGAGTCCTATTTTACCATACACTTCCAAGAACTTTGCAATCTCATCTTTTATAATAGAATCTAAAATCTTATCAATGATTGAGGTCAGGCTGACTAGCCTATAAATTTACCACCTTGAATAGGGATATAACAATAGCCAGTGATCTAAACATCATTCTAAAAGACCCCAGTACAGCAGCATCTGGAAACCAAGAGGTTACTGTCTTGCATCCTTAGAGGTTGATCCACAAGGTGAGGTGAAACCAGGGTAAAAATTAAATCAGGATTAATATTTACCTTAGTCTCTGTCTCACCAAATCAAAAACAATTCTAGTGTTTTGAGATCCCACAATTTACTATATGCATATTGAGTTGGACTATCATGATTAAGCTAACTCTTTCATATTGTACAATCTCAGGCAATGCTCAGTCCGAACGAGCCCATGACTAAACTGTTGCAGATATTGGTTGACTACCCCTAGTACCACAGGGGTTTCAAAACAGCACTGCAGTGCCTTGTGAAAGCAAAACATTCCACAGCCAAAATTGCACACAGTCTCCTGCCACAGAAAGAGCATCTTCCCCACCAGGTTTACGGGATAGAAGCTCATTTTTCCTTCTGTGATATACTGTTGAGATTATAAAATGATTCACTAGAAATCAACTTAAGTTATTGTGAAATTTTCTGAACCTCATGGCAATCAGGTTACTCACCAAGCGGTCCTTTGCCTGCAGCTTTTGCTTTCATCTCTTCAAGCTTTTTCTGCTCCTCCTTCTTCTTCTGTTTGAAAGCAAGATCATCCTGTGCAGATAACAGAGTTACTCAGGTTGCATTTTATCAAATGTTGAAAATCCAGTTATAAAATAGTGCAATTCAGATAAATTAGCAACTAGTAATATGTGCAAAAACTTATCTTCATCTCCAGACTTGAAATGTTTACTTTGTTGATCATTCATTCTCTAAATTCTTACCTTTCCCAAACTCTACCAGATATGCTCTCCCACTCAGTCACTGGGCTACAAAACTTCTGATATCGTTAATACACATTTAAAACTTTTGATCTTCTCTATAAATCTATGACCACTGCAACTTTCAACACCCAAATCCCCTACCAAGTATGTTTAACGTTGACGCATTGTACATCTTACTTTTTACACTCCTTCTACCGTAACTATTCTGAACACCCCACTTATACATCAGTGTAAACTTTACGAAACCTCTGCAGGGACAAGCTTTCAATCACAATTTTGGATCAATCTCTTCAATACTTCATCCAATTGACCATCTTTACATCTGAACTCAAGTGTCAGCAACCCACTTGACCAGTTGATATGGATGCTTGATCACGACATCCAACACTAACATTATGGAAAGAGAACAGTGGACTCCTGGTTATAAATTGCTTATCATTATCCCCAAGCTAACTTGCAGTGCTAATGACTGGTCATACCAATTATTGTGACTTCCTGTGGGGATTCCAAGAAAGGTCACCTGGATGTTCTAGAATGGAGAATATCTCTAGCTAAGTGACTGGTTCATCCCATAAAACAATATAATTAACACGAGCAACTTTCTGCTCGTGTTAAAAAGAAAAAAGTTCTGAGAGCAGGCCATACAGACTACTGGCAAATTCCTAGTATTGTGCTTTCATTGAAGCAATAAACAAATACTAACCTTGAAACAGAATTCTACATGGTATATTGGACAGTCACCACATTCACTATGGTTTATACAAGGTCATTCTCAATATTGTACTGCTCTGTACTTCTGGCGCAGTCATCTAAGGTCAAGCTATACAACCAGTAACGTGGCAAATGTCAAAGAACTAACTTAATAAATTATGAAGAAAATTTCAGATCTTAAAGTGAAATAAAGAGAAAACATTGCAGAAATGCACTAGAACAGGAAGGGCAAACCCAGAACAGCTAAACTATAATTGCATAGGTACGAACTGTATAAAACTGCAACCCTCTCAGGAAATTATCAATGTCAGTCTTAGTACAGTAAGAGCACAGGGCAGATCTTGTGATAAGGTGAAAAATTCAGGAACATGGGGACGATGCAGGAAGGTAAAGGAGCAGGGCCAGGGTCCCAGGGAATAGCCCAGCAGGTTCAAAGGGCCAGGCCCCACTCCAACTCCTATCTCTCATATGAGCACGTGAGTAGATTTACTGGGAAAGATGGCAAAATGCTACAAACGGTCTTACTTGTATGATTTTGTTAAAATGGTTATTCTTGTCCAAAGCTACATTTGTATCTCAAATTATTCCACTTAAACAAGAGACAGTGATAACTGGTTAACTGACGAAAGCAGAATCTCCTCTGGGCAGCAGAACCAGCTCATCATTACAAAATGTCATGCCACTATTTCAACTTCTGGCAAATTCAGAAACAGTTCATGCATTAAAAAGAATACAGACCTCATCCATTTCCTTGTTTGATTTTTTAGGTTGTTTCAATGGTTTCTTCTTGCCTCCTAAGCACAAAGAAAACAAAATAAGCATATAACAGAAAATAGAAGTGTCACAAGTAAGTTTTGACACTATATTGTCGATACAGAAATAAAAGTAGAAAACACTTGAAAGCACTCAAAAGGTCAGGCAGCATATATATCAAGAACCATAGGCAATGTCTCACTAGAACTGAGGATATAAACATGAAGCATTTGGACTTTGGGTCATCACTGCCCACTGAGAAATGCACTTCTTAAAAAGGTCCTGACAATTTATTTAGCTCATGTTAGCTTTGATTCACAGTTAGTGCCTTTACCTTTAACAAAATAAAAAGCCCACTCCAGGGCTTGAGCACACCACCAAGGGAGTCAATGCAGTACCCAAACTGCTGCATATCAGGAGCTGCTGAGAGATACAAAGTTAACCAAGCCCTCTTGGATACATAAAGACGACACAAGGCCTATTTGAAGGGAATCAAGAGTCATCCTAACCTGGTCTCTCAAAAACACTGTTGAAACAGCTTTACAGGTTATCATGTTGCTGTGAACAAGTTGCTTATCATATTTGTCAGTTGGATACATTGCAACCAGATCTATGGTTAAGCAACTCATTGAAATGCTTCATAACCAAAGATATTGCAAAAGGCACGATTACCAGCAACTTGCAATATTACATGCACACGAAAAACATACAAGTTCATTCTTTATGAATTCTGAGTTCAGCATAAACTAATAAGATACCAAATCAAGTAGACACTAATTTGGATTTTCCAGTGTCATTTCATAATGCTGTAGCCTAAAGGGAGGAAAGGCCTTAGTACTGAATTGGCAAAATGGCTTTGTAAGTGACACCTTTTCTCAGGCCAGCAAAACTCAACCAGATTATAAAGCCACTGAGGCAGAAAAATCTGGATTCGAGACCCACTCCAGGAGTTGATGACCACCGAAAGTATGCTCCATAGCGTGAATTTACCAGCCTACAAATTTATCCAACGCACCCATTTGCACACAGCAAGAACGAGAGAGACTCCTGTTCAGCCAGGTTGCTGAAGGCAACTACACTTTCCTACTTCAAACAAGCATAATAATCAGAAGGGGGATTGGGAGGAAAGAGAAGGATGGAGGGGGGTGATGGAGGGGGGTGATGGAGGGGGGTGA